AAATGACAAGTAATTAAGTATTGGACGGAAGTTGTGAAAAGTATTGATCTTCAATGATGGAAGAAGTTGTGATGATTTAAATTCATGCACTTCATTTACTTCTTGATTTGGCCAATCCAGATGTTAAAATTTGTTGTGAGAACATGTAAGAACTGGGCTGGTATTGTCTCAGTCAACAATTGGAAAGAATAACATGAGGTTGTATAAATGAAAATGTAGTTTATATGATTAAGTATAAATAAATAAGGAAATATTTATTGAAGGGTATAGAGTTAGAAGACATTAAAGTGACAGGTTAAAGCCCTCAACTTTGTTTATTATTTTAGGTTCTGATATGAGATGTTAGCCCCTAAGTAGAGGGAATCGAGAGAACTCTAGAGTAAGAGCTAGTATCTACCCTGCCTAGTCGGTCTTCAGAACTGTTCAAACTTTAAATTAGTCAATCTTCTTTATAGCATCTCTTGTAAGGGTAAAGTATATTATTGCTCCTATTTGGCACAACACAATTTGTAAAATTCCACAACATAATTCCTATACTTATTACTGATTCATAACAAGAAGAAAGATATTTTCATATTTAGTATTTCTCTTCTACAAAAACTCTAGTTATCTTTTTAAATTGTTATTGTTCTATCAAAATATTGAAAATACCAAAAATATTTAAATTTTCATTACTGCAAAAATCATCTTTAGTTTAGATAATTATATTTTTATTAAAAATAGAAAGTTTGTTGTTCAATAGTACATATTGTGTATTCTCCCTGTGGGTTCGATATTCAGGTCTTAATAAAAAAGTCATATATTACTTGATTACAATATGTATACTTGCGTAGTATCCCAATATATATAAATTAAAAGTTAAATTCTTATTTTTCTTCAGGATCAAGTTTTTTGATTTTGTTGCAAAGTAAGGAAATATAAGTGAAATATAATCTGAATTATTATTGTACTGTGCATATTAGCAGTATCCAGGGATCAAAAGTCAACTATAATAAATCCTTAGTAATAGAGAAACCAAAAATTAAAATAAAGGGAAAATTACAAAGCCTCAAGTTGATAATGATATTCAGGAGACTAAAAGGAGAAGTTTGAGGTTAATCATAAATTCAAAAATTGGCACCAATGCCCTCCTAAAGTCAAAGAATCAAAAGCTTCTTTTATCTAAATTTTAATAATTATATTTAAGAGTATATTAATGGAATTAAAATTATTTGTTTGATTAGCCTATTAAATTATATATATATATATATATATATAAGAATTAATATTATATTAGTTAAGCAAATATTAGCGATATACGGATACTCATATAAAAATAATTATAAAAATAAAGTGAAGACATTGGGACTTTTTAATAAAATACAATCTTAAGAAAAAATGGATGTACTTTAATTTACATAGTTACATCATTATTAAAAAAGAATGTAATCTTAAATCATAATTTACCATGAATTTCAAAAGCTCTAAACTTATGTATTGAACTATTTGAGGGTAAATATTGTATAAGTATAGAGGAATTTGAGGTGTGGTTAGTTTGATGTGATATTTCTTATATGTTATATATTATTTGTGCCATTTTTATGCTTCTTTAAGGTAACGTGTTTATATATATATTATAAATTTTAAAATTCAGTAATAGGAGCATAAGGAACCAAATTTATGTGAAGGCCCTGCGTGGTGCCTTGGTGCCCATGCTTGACTTCTATGGGCTTGAACCAGCTCCTTATTTCACAATATAAATAAATAAATAAGCAAAATTAGGCACCATGCCAAGAAAGGTGATACCCACTCCAGCTCTTATGCACCTAGCCTGGCTTCTGAAGAGGGAGATTTCTATGTATTAAATATAAACAACTTGAAAATATAGCTCCCCAACTTGGTGCCTAGGCAACCGAAACAACCTTATGATAGTTTGCATGGTCTTGAGATGCATTGGTGATTAATATGCTTAAATCCAAGATATCCAAAAGAATAAGGTAGCCCCAATGTTTTTTTTATTTAGTCTCCTGCTACTATTCTCACATCGTTTGTATGTATTAGAGTATTTAGAGATCTTAGTTGCAAGAGCAAGAAAGGAGTGCTTGTAATTAAGTAAGGAGGGAATAGTGGAGCGCATCACTTAGGAACAAAGATAGTAATCTTATCAGGTTCTACCTATTCTTTACTCTTATATATTTGCTCTAATTTAGTGAATGAGAATTATGTTTTCATTTCAAATCATACACAGTAAGTAAATTTTCTCTCTCCATTAGATTCATTTTCTATGAAATATAGAGAAATCCATGCTTTTATTTCTATAACTTAATTTACATCCAAATCGGTCATTTGGATAGTTAAAATTGGTTGTAATTTAAGATTATCTAAAAAATATTAGAAGCATAATTTGGTTATTACAGACCCAGTAGAGAATGTGGATGTCTGGGAGCACTTGTAGTGCCTGAACAAACTGATTATAATATGAGATTTCGATGCATGTTATATGCTAGAAAAGAGTAAGAAGTAAAACATTCCGTCTTACAATATACTATAAAAATTATTTAGAGAAATTTGGGTTTCATTGAACTAATTATACAGACAATCTCACAACTATTAGAAAACTGTCCACTATAATTTAAGGTTTTTTTTGCCTTTTTTTTAAATTGGATTTATAAACCTTTAAATTTTACGAACTTTGGAGACTTCAAACTAAACCAATGCTGGTAACTAGAAGATCATATCTTTTAAAATAAACTGATTCTCTATGAGAATGATGCATAAACTTATAATTTATATATTACTTGATCGATATGTATATTTGTGTAATTGACACTTGTGTGACTGTAGAGTTGTATCGCATTTTTGTTCACAAGATAAGCTAAACATTAGAGCATTTGGGTGCACTGCAAAATCACTATAAATCTCTAATTATTTTCCGTGTGACTTCTCTATATCTTTTATTTAGTCAAGTATGCTTATAGAATAATGGTTTCCAATTTATTTCACTCTTTTTGATCCTCTAATATAAGGATTTTATCTCCTACTATTTTTAGTATAAATGTTAATTATATCCACAATCGAAAAGTTGAGCATTACATGTTTGAGATTAGTGAATTAGTGAATGATATATGTTGGTCTGTGCTAAGCATCAGAAATTTGCCATGGGGAAAGTCAAAATTTGGTCGATGTTTAATAATTTCTTTATCATTTTCTTAATAAGAAATGATACTAGTTGATAAAAAAAATTGCATTAAATATTAATGAAATGACTAGAACGATGGGCCTTAATATTGGTCAATGGTTGATGGTGGCGATAGGCTTCAAAGTATACTAATATATGTCATCAGGATACAACAAAAAGCTTTTAAAATCTATAAATATGTGAATTTTCTCCAATAAAAGCCCTTATTTATACATTTAGAAGCATGATCTATTTATAGACATCTAGGGGTCTTAGCCATTTATGTCAAAAAAAAAATTCACCACATCGAACTATTTTGAAATGTTTTTTGATAACATAATACTTTAGTTTAACATCTTATTGTTACAATAAACTCAAATTGAAAAAATTCTAAGCTCGTCATATTACTCTCATTGAAGTTGATGTTTGCTAGGAGATTTGTGGTGGTAGAGTAATGAATTATTGTCTTAGGGTTGTATGAGAATCCAATACATGCATATATAAATAAAAATATCAAGTAATGACACCGTAATTTTCTTACGTGAAAACCCCAAAAAGGGAAAAACGACGGATCTTGCCCTGTTGAAATGCTCTACCATGAGTTCGTGATTATAGATACAACCTCTTATCTTACATGAAGGAAAAAGAAATACAATTTCTAAAGTTACAACATTCATGCATAGAAGAACTCGTTACAACGCAGTAGAGAGCGGTCACAGTGGGAGTAATTTCTGGAGCTTTAGTACACCATATTTTGGGTCCAACCTAACATTCGGGATAATGCACTGCTTCATAGATTGCTACATGACTCCGCAATATTAGTTGTTTCTTTTCACGGTGTTTCACGATAAGAAGCGGTCGACAACCAATGGTGGTCGGTGACAACTAGCTAGCGGTGGTCAACGGTAATCGGAAACTACATGAGCTAGAAGTATTCGTCGATTTGTCGATATAGAATACTGGACTTCAACTCCCTCTCTCTCAGGTTTTGGTCTTTCTGTGGCTCATGTCCATTCTCTATAGAGGGGGAAGGGATTTTTTTATGAGTCCAAATTATAATTAAGGAAGAAATTTGAACACCAGATAGAACTGCCCGGAGAAGTTCACCTAATCAGATGATCTTTTGTAAACATGTAAGTGTCTTAATGATATCGGAATTGAGTGAACTTGCCCTCATTGGATTTGTCTTATTCAGATGTTTGTTTTGAATATAAACTTGCCTTGGAATCCGTTTGGCCTTTCAATTACGCATAGAAAGCTTCTGAATATGGTTTAATAGCTTGATATGATCTTAATTTCACTCAAATTACATCAATTCTGATTTTGTTTGGCCTGTCTTTTTTAGTCGCAGTTTTACTATAAGTGTTGAAATTAGAATTCTGCAATATTTTTAATCAAAATTTGAACGTTTCTTGCTAAAAAAACTACATCTAAGCTCGTGTATGTCTCGAGATTCATGTTAAATGATAAAATTTTATTCAAAGGATATAGATGCAATTATTTATTTTAAAAAAATAAGATTTGAACTGCATATGACCCTCAATATCTTTAAGAAGCTTTCAATTGTGCTCAAATATATAAATTAAGTGCATTTTGACTATGAGCTATAGCTTTTTTATTTTTTCTCTTGGATTCTCTTATATTTCTTATAAGTTTTTTTTTTTAAATGAAAGAGTGATTTTTGAGTTTCTATAAAACAAATTCGTGTACTTTTTAATATTTGAAAAAACATTTAAAACAACGTGTTGCTTGAAAATATTATATAAGACTTCAGAAATTATATTCACCCCGGCATTTCCCCCTTTGCTTTGATCTCTTACTTCCCTCGTCCTCCGCCTCAATCATGGCCGCCGCCGCCGCAGCCCCCGCCCCTGGCTTCCCCTCCCTTTACTCGTTAAAATTGGTTGTAATTTAAGATTATCTAAAAAATATTAGAAGCATAATTTGGTTATTACAGACCCAGTAGAGAATGTGGATGTCTGGGAGCACTTGTAGTGCCTGAACAAACTGATTATAATATGAGATTTCGATGCATGTTATATGCTAGAAAAGAGTAAGAAGTAAAACATTCCGTCTTACAATATACTATAAAAATTATTTAGAGAAATTTGGGTTTCATTGAACTAATTATACAGACAATCTCACAACTATTAGAAAACTGTCCACTATAATTTAAGGTTTTTTTTGCCTTTTTTTTAAATTGGATTTATAAACCTTTAAATTTTACGAACTTTGGAGACTTCAAACTAAACCAATGCTGGTAACTAGAAGATCATATCTTTTAAAATAAACTGATTCTCTATGAGAATGATGCATAAACTTATAATTTATATATTACTTGATCGATATGTATATTTGTGTAATTGACACTTGTGTGACTGTAGAGTTGTATCGCATTTTTGTTCACAAGATAAGCTAAACATTAGAGCATTTGGGTGCACTGCAAAATCACTATAAATCTCTAATTATTTTCCGTGTGACTTCTCTATATCTTTTATTTAGTCAAGTATGCTTATAGAATAATGGTTTCCAATTTATTTCACTCTTTTTGATCCTCTAATATAAGGATTTTATCTCCTACTATTTTTAGTATAAATGTTAATTATATCCACAATCGAAAAGTTGAGCATTACATGTTTGAGATTAGTGAATTAGTGAATGATATATGTTGGTCTGTGCTAAGCATCAGAAATTTGCCATGGGGAAAGTCAAAATTTGGTCGATGTTTAATAATTTCTTTATCATTTTCTTAATAAGAAATGATACTAGTTGATAAAAAAAATTGCATTAAATATTAATGAAATGACTAGAACGATGGGCCTTAATATTGGTCAATGGTTGATGGTGGCGATAGGCTTCAAAGTATACTAATATATGTCATCAGGATACAACAAAAAGCTTTTAAAATCTATAAATATGTGAATTTTCTCCAATAAAAGCCCTTATTTATACATTTAGAAGCATGATCTATTTATAGACATCTAGGGGTCTTAGCCGTTTATGTCAAAAAAAAATTCACCACATCGAACTATTTTGAAATGTTTTTTGATAACATAATACTTTAGTTTAACATCTTATTGTTACAATAAACTCAAATTGAAAAAATTCTAAGCTCGTCATATTACTCTCATTGAAGTTGATGTTTGCTAGGAGATTTGTGGTGGTAGAGTAATGAATTATTGTCTTAGGGTTGTATGAGAATCCAATACATGCATATATAAATAAAAATATCAAGTAATGACACCGTAATTTTCTTACGTGAAAACCCCAAAAAGGGAAAAACGACGGATCTTGCCCTGTTGAAATGCTCTACCATGAGTTCGTGATTATAGATACAACCTCTTATCTTACATGAAGGAAAAAGAAATACAATTTCTAAAGTTACAACATTCATGCATAGAAGAACTCGTTACAACGCAGTAGAGAGCGGTCACAGTGGGAGTAATTTCTGGAGCTTTAGTACACCATATTTTGGGTCCAACCTAAAATTCGGGATAATGCACTGCTTCATAGATTGCTACATGACTCCGCAATATTAGTTGTTTCTTTTCACGGTGTTTCACGATAAGAAGCGGTCGACAACCAATGGTGGTCGGTGACAACTAGCTAGCGGTGGTCAACGGTGATCGGAAACTACATGAGCTAGAAGTATTCGTCGATTTGTCGATATAGAATACTGGACTTCAACTCCCTCTCTCTCAGGTTTTGGTCTTTCTGTGGCTCATGTCCATTCTCTATAGAGGGGGAAGGGATTTTTTTATGAGTCCAAATTATAATTAAGGAAGAAATTTGAACACCAGATAGAACTGCCCGGAGAAGTTCACCTAATCAGATGATCTTTTGTAAACATGTAAGTGTCTTAATGATATTGGAATTGAGTGAACTTGCTCTCATTGGATTTGTCTTATTGAGATGTTTGTTTTGAATATAAACTTGCCTTGGAATCCGTTTGGCCTTTCAATTACGCATAGAAAGCTTCTGAATATGGTTTAATAGCTTGATATGATCTTATTTTCACTCAAATTACATCAATTCTGATTTTGTTTGGTCTGTCTTTTTTAGTCGCAGTTTTACTATAAGTGTTGAAATTAGAATTCTGCAATATTTTTAATCGAAATTTGAATGTTTCTTGCTAAAAAAATTACATCTAAGCTCGTGTATGCCTCGAGATTCATGGTGAATGATAAGAATTTATTCAAAGATATAGATGCAATTATTTATTTTAAAAAAATAAGAAAAATTTGAACGTTTCTTGCTAAAAAAACTACATCTAAGCTCGTGTATGTCTCGAGATTCATGTTAAATGATAAAATTTTATTCAAAGGATATAGATGCAATTATTTATTTTAAAAAAATAAGATTTGAACTACATATGACCCTCAATATCTTTAAGAAGCTTTCAATTGTGCTCAAATATATAAATTAAGTGCATTTTGACTATGAGCTATAGCTTTTTTATTTTTCCTCTTGGATTCTCTTATATTTCTTATAAGTTTTTTTTTTTAAATGAAAGAGTGATTTTTGAGTTTCTATAAAACAAATTCGTGTACTTTTTAATATTTGAAAAAACATTTAAAACAACGTGTTGCTTGAAAATATTATATAAGACTTCAGAAATTATATTCACCCCGGCATTTCCCCCTTTGCTTTGATCTCTTACTTCCCTCGTCCTCCGCCTCAATCATGGCCGCCGCCGCCGCAGCCCCCTGGCTCTCCCTCTCTTTACTCACGCTTCCCTCAGTTCTCCTCCTCATCCCGCCACCGTCAACTCTCGATCTCATGCACCGCGGTCATTTCCTCCCCTATTCCCTCATCCCTTGTTGCCAACGATCGTGGTGTTTATAATTTCGCTGCCGGCCCCGCCACCCTCCCTGAATCCGTCATACTCAAAGCCCAATCGGAGCTCTATAACTATCGCGGCTCCGGCATGAGTATCATGGAGATGAGCCACCGCGGCAAGGAATTCGACGCTGTCATCAAGAAAGCCGAATCCGATCTCCGCCGCCTCCTTTCAATCTCGGATGAATTCGCTGTCCTCTTCCTCCAAGGTGGCGCCACCACCCAGTTTTCTGCCGTTCCTCTTAATCTCTGCAAGCCTGATGATCCCGCCGACTACATCATCACCGGATCTTGGAGCGATAAGGCTTATAAAGAAGCTCAAAAGTTCTGCAAACCGAGCATTGTTTGGTCCGGGAAATCCGAAAAGTATACGAAAATCCCGTCGTTTGATGAGATCGGGCAAAACCCAGATGCTAAATATCTCCATATCTGCGGGAATGAAACAATTCATGGAGTTGAGTACAAGGATTACCCCGAACCCAAGAACATGAACTCGATTTTGGTCGCCGACATGTCATCAAATTTTTGCTCGAAGCCTGTGGATGTTTCAAAGTTTGGCTTGATCTATGCTGGGGCGCAGAAGAACGTCGGTCCTTCAGGCGTTACTATTGTCATTGTTCGGAGAGATCTTCTTGGAGATGCGCAGCCAATCACCCCTGTGATGCTTGATTACAAGATCCACGCTGATAATGCTTCGCTCTACAACACCCCGCCATGTTTTGCTGTTTATATTTGCGCTCTGGTGTTTGAGGACCTACTTGATCAAGGTGGACTTCAAGCTGTGGAGGAGAAGAATATTAAAAAGGCAAGCATTCTCTATGATACCATTGATGGGAGCGGTGGATTTTATGTCTGCCCTGTTGAGAAATCAGTGAAGTCGTTGATGAATGTGCCATTCACTTTGCCAAACTCAGACCTTGAGAAGAAGTTCATTGCGGAGGCTGCAGAGGAGGGAATGATTCAGCTCAAGGGACATCGATCGGTGGGTGGAGTTCGGGCATCGATATACAATGCGATGCCGCTTGCTGGTGTGGAGAAGCTGGTTGCTTTCATGAAGGATTTCCAGGCCAGACATACTTGAGCGAAGTAGTGTTTCGGGATTTCAATTTCCTGGGTTTTTTTTTTCCCTTTTGGGTATTCTCTTAATATTGAAAGGTTCTATCTGTTATTTGCTTTCTTCAATTTGTTTACATGCATGCCAATCTCTATATCTGTTGTCTTTCTTTATGATCCTTACTTCAAGTTTAATCTTTCTGTTTTAACTGCGCTGCAGTTATTGAATTTAAGATGATATGTATTTTATTTGCTTCCTGCCAATGAAGATCATTACTAATTATATACAAGCAGAGAGGTAGAAGAGAAAGGTAGCTAGAGCTTACAGGTTTTGGTAAATCTTCCTTATACTAACATATCTATACAGTAGAGACATAGTGTGGTATATATTGAGTTGATTGGCTGAGAAGGGATCATTTGTACATGGAAAATAAAGGTGAATCATCAAACAGTTATGCTAGTATGGAGTAGCAAATTCTGAACCACAGTAACAGAATGAGATAAGTTTACTAGGGCCCCTCAAACTTAGGATCCAAGGGTTGGATTGTTAGTTGTCCCTGGGAAAAGCATTGGCCGATATAAATTTAGCCATTTGGTCATTTGTAGTAATTTGCTGGACTGCTATGGTATTTGCTGCAATATGATCTCTAACAAAGTGATGATCTGCTTCAATGTGCTTTTTGCGGACATGGAATATGGGATTGTTCACTAAGGCCATGATTGAGGTGTTGTCACAATAGAGGGGAGTTGGTGTTGAGATTGATATTTGAAATTCTACAATGACATGTTGGAGCCATATTACGTATGTTGTTGCCAAGGTTAATACTTTGTACTCATCTTCCGTAGAAGATTTGGCGACAATAGTTTGCTTTTGAACTTTCCATGATACGTGGTTGTTGTGTAGGAAGGTACAATGGCCGGATATCGAACATCTAGTGATGGGGTCGAATGCCTAGTCTAAGTCAAAGTAAGATTGGATTGTTGGAGTTCCTTGTGTGATTTGAAAATCATGCATAAGTGTGACTTGAAGTTAATGAAAGATCCTACTAAGGAGTTGAAAATATCCAACAATGGGAGAATGCATACGCTGACATACTTGATTAATGATAGAGGCTATGTCTAACCTGGTGATACTTAAATACTGTAATGAACCTGAATCTATCTTATTGAGTTGGATTTGAGAAGTGTTTGTTGTGATGATGAATCAAGGGGTGGTTTGGAGGGACATGGGGTGAGGATTGCATGGTCGGAGCTACCAAATCCATTAAAATTAAAGGGAATTTGCATTCATTTACTTAGCTTACACCCAAACCTTAATTTTTACAAGCTAAGAACCCTATCTATAGGAAAAAGTGTAATCTACCTTTTCATACATCTTTTCAAATATTAGAAAAGGTGTTTGACTTGTAAATGTCAAAGTTTAAGTGTGAGATAAGTATGCATAAGAACTGCGTGCTATGTATATAAATTTCCCTAAATTGGGGAATTTACATACATAGCACGCAATTCTTATACATTTATTTATCTCACAGCTTCACTTGTTTGGTTGAGGAGAAATTTAGCCGAATATTTTTTTTTCTTTATTGTTTGGTTGATCACTGTTTTTTGTAAGGAGGGGGCTTAAGAGTTGCACAGATAATCTGATTAAAATTTCACATGTTTTTCATTAGGGTTGAATAGGTTGTCAGTGGAAAAATATATTTGTTCATAATTTTTTAATAAATGCAATTTTCTACTCATTGCGTTCAAATAAATCACTTGATATCAAATTGTGATGCATTCCCCCGATTCCTTCAAACCATCGTATTGTTAATAGTCTCGGCTTTTGTAGTTTTCAATGAAAATCTCATGAGGGAAATGATATGTGCATGTAGAAGATAAGCCTACATGCATTATTGGTGGACTTTATTGGTAATTATAAATAATCAAATAACTCACCAAGGATTCTAGAATCAATTTTAGTGTCAGATGGAAGATTTTGTGATATTTTAGCTAATTAAGGGATGCCGCCATTGATACCTATTTGTGCAAGCAAGCTTTTTATCATTTCTTTCAAGATGGTTGTGCCAGTCTATAGTGTCATCATTACCAAATAGGCTATGCAAGTGCAACGTTACAAGATATTTTAAATAATCTGTTAATAGATTCACTTGAGCAATCATTAAAATCTATCATTGCAAATACAATCAATTTTATTTCACTATAAAAACCAAATTTAGTGTCTTTATGTTTCTGGAAAATAACTTCATGATCATGTGGTAGGTAGTAGGATAATTTTTGGCAGAGCACTTCATTAACTTGCTTGTAAGATTGACCAAGTATGATAATTTATAGAACTATTTTTAGGCTAATTTTAATCGGACACCAAGTAGTTTTTTATGATCTATCTTATTTTTTATAAATAAGTAATTATCTAACATTAATAAAGAGTATACTTTATCACAATAAGGTTGAACATTAATTTAATATCTCCGTGCATGTAGAAGACCTATTAGGTGTTGGTGGCTACAATGGTCAATTGTGAGCGGTCGTTGATAATATTGAGTATTGGCATGCACACATTAATGTTGAGATTGAAAGATTACATTAATCCAAATTGTAGACCGATTTACATTTCTGTCTTTTTTGAAGATTACCAATAGGCTCACGTAAGGACTAAACCTTCTACCCAACTTAAACAACTTCAACTTAACTTTTTAAAATGAAACTCATAACTAAAACAAAACCACATAAATCACTGCATTCAGGATCATAGAAACATCATACATCTAAACAACCTCGACTGACATCGAACAAAATTGAGTAAAAACTCCCTTTTGACTTAGGAATATGAATGATAACATGATCGGTAGACATATGCCTAACATGTTGCTCATATTCCTTGTCTTCAAGCCCTCACTCATTGCACCGGAAGGGGTGTTTTGTTTTGACTTATCTTTTGATCTTTTGAGCTATTCTTTCTTACTTATCTTGTTGGTGTCTGCTTGTTGGAGTTAAGGATCTTCTCTGTTTCCTGCTCTCCACAGTGTTTTGTTAGCCTTATTAGCTTTCCCCCTATGCTTGTTGTTGTTTTGTAATTGTTAACGTTGTCACTTGTGAGTTGTTTTTTTTGTATTTTTTTGTTGTATTTTCAATTTTCTTTTTTGGTTTTTTTTCTGATCAGAACAATTCTGCCTTATTCTTTTCTTTTATGTCATTTTTTTGTTTGAGCTATGGAGATTTGCACCTGTTCATTAAAATTCAGCCGTATATCTGGATATATATGCTCTTATAGGCTCTAGATATTCATTATACTTGAATGGAATTTTAATATTTTTTTCCCAAGTAAAATTCTGAGCTAAACTACTTTTTCATCTATTTCTATTTTTTTATGGTCTTTTGTTTTCTATGCTTGTTGTATCTGTTGTTATTACATCTCGTTAATTGCTCTTTATCTTTCTATCCATTGTGTTTTAGCATTTTTTCTCTCCATTTTTCTCCGTGTTGTTCTTTTTGTTGGTTCTTTTGAGGTTGGAGGATGATCCATACTACTTTCAATAGGCTGATAGTTGCTTCTCTATTGTTAATTTTCTTTTGGAGCTGAAGTTTCTTCATCCCCTTGTTTGGTATCTTCTTACTAGTGTAGGAATCTTCTCTTTTTCCTATTCTTTGCTTTGTTTATTAGCCTTGTTGGCTTTCCCTTTATTCTTGTTGTTGTGTTATATAATAAGTGTTGAGCTGTATTCTTTTTTTTAACTCTATAAATCACTTTTTTTCCTATTATAACTGGCGTGCACACACAATAAAATGAGAATATCTAGCATACTGAAAATTTCAAAATCACAAATAATTGACAAATATAAAGAGAATAAACTCACCAGCTCTTCACAAAATCAGAATACACAATACTCTCACACTAAAGAAGCAAAATAAAAATTAAAAAAAAAAAAACTTTTATAAACTGATTTATCTCACATAGACACTGGCCTCCAAAAACAGTCACTCAGAACACCTAGCTACCATCTATAATCTCCTGGAGATTTTAAAAGACAAAAAATAACAAATAGAAATGTAACCAGCCCTATAATCTCACGCAACAGCTAAGACCCAATTCTCATCCAACAATTGGGAATCTATCCCATCACAAATTCTTTTGTGGAAACCTGAGAGGATTGAAAATCATATATCACAAGTAAATCATGAGCCAAAACAAGAAGCAAAGTTATCATTTCATAACAAAGTCCTCGTGTGTACAGTTGAAACAATGAAACAAGGTAAACTGAATAACAAGATTAGCAAACAACTGTTTGGAATTACATATGTATTATTATAATACTAAGATATAGGGTAGTTTGCATCATAATTTAAAGGCCATAAGCTCAAATCACGAAAGTAAGTACTATAATAAAGGGTAGGACTACATTCATTTATTTGTGCCCATAAACCGCATTGATGAGAAACCGCATGTTCTTTGATCTTTCTCTTTCTAGGCAAGTAACATGTATCATCAACAATCAGACCTCCCTTAGACTTCATAGTTCTCGTATTATTATCATAGTAAGAGATTTTCTTTCTATGCTCTCTTCCAAAATCTTGAGGTAGGGACTCAGAAACTTTGGCATCTTTTTTAACTTTCAATCCACTAACAGGCATTGATGACTCTCCGAGACGCTTCACGGACTAAGAAGCAAAAATTTGCAGAAATTAGAAAACTTAGGATGTATCCATAAACTACAATGAAAGCTGCAAATAGGCAAGAGTTGAAGTGTATCAATGTCTGCTCTTCTTGACCACATTTATAGCAAAGTGTCGGTAGTGTAACAACACTTTCACACCATTATTTTGCACTACTTTCACACTGTTGTTTCGCAGAACCCTTAAAGATTGCATTTAATCAAAGAACATAGTAATAAAGTATTCAGTAAATCAAGTACATAACACTATTGATAAGCAAAATAAAGTAGCCAGTTGGCTTACTTGGCTAGTATGACCAAACTCAGCACAATTGTAACAAGATATTTCAATTGGACCATTGCCCTTGTAATCAATACAGCACAGATGACCATGCTGTTTGCAAATATAACATCGTATTTTCTGCAGATTCAAAGTAGGCATGTGTATTACAGGCAAATTTCATCACTCAAACTCCAATCATTGCAATTCACTTTCCAAAATATGTGGCAAAGAAGTTCGCAGTCTTGTTCTTGGAATTTATGGAAACATGAAGATATAAAAAAAAAGTATCAAGAGGGTTCTTAAATCATCTGTAACCTTGATATCACTAG